ATTTCGACCTTCCAAACGAAACTCCAACAATCCTCCTTAGTAGCATTTTCATCCACGGGCCTAAAATTTTAGGTTAGCGTTGAACTTATAAAATTATAAAAAAGATAAAAATAGGTTTTCAATAGAAATTACATAAATTTAAAATATAAGATAATTTTAAAATTTTAGGAGGGTGATTGCCCCGCTCACCCTCACTTTGGTCCATTCCTGCCATATACGTTGACCTTATCTAGTGATGGTCAAAATACCTTAACATGATGGATTTTAATATTATACGAGTGAATAAAAATATTTTTATAATAATAATTACTATATATTTTTTTATTAAAAAAAAGTTAAGGTGATTACAAAGTAGTATATGTTCTAACTACTCTCAATCATTTGACAATAAACTTTCAATCACGCTAGTGGCGGACGCACGTTCATGTTTGTGACGTTTTTTCCTTTAAAAATTTCAAAGCTCTGGACGGGGCAAGACGGGTTATATAACATATAACTTCGGGTCGGGCCAGGTCAAGTTTAAGGTGAAAAATTACTGACCCGACCCAACCCTATTAATTTTTACACACACACATATATATATATATAATATTTTAAGAATTTGTATTTTTATATTATTTAATTATTAAAAATATAAAAATATTATAAATATATTAATTTAATAATATATAAATAATTATAAATATATTATTATAAAATATATTATTTTAATTATTTTAAAATATTAATATATTCAGATTGAGATCAAATTTTAGTTTAAAAATCATACGGACTCAAAATGGAAAAAACTTAAAATTCATCAACCAGATCAAGTTTTATATATATATTCAGGTCGGGGCGGGAAAAAAACCGCCAGTGCCAATCCCTAAGTCCGTATCAAACGATCCTTCTTTTCATCCCATCTCATACCAATAAATATGAAAATTTTAATGAGTGGCATTTTATGTCGCATTGAATTTTAAATATTAAGTTTTAGTTTGTTGCATTCTTTATTTTTTGAAAAAAAGAAAAAGAGTGTCTCATTTAATGTGTCTAAAATCTCACGAATAATAGCTATTTTTAATTTTTGTTCTCTATTTCTTTTTCGTTTAATCAATTTCTTTACCATTTAATAATAAATATAATTTATTTTCGGGAAAATAATCAATTCAGTTGTCTTAAAATTAATATATATTAGGAAGTTAAAATTTACTTGAATAAGAATATAGTTTAATTAATATCAATGACAATTTAACCTTCAATATTTATATTTCTTTTATCAAACTAACCATTATTTTTTTTTCTTAGTTAAATCAACCCCTAACCTTTCAAAAAAATCAAATCATTTTTTTAAAAGAGAAAAAGTTGGACAAAAATGGAAAAGTACAAAATAACTTTGGATTGCCTTAATGAAAGTCCCAAGCCTAACAAATTACACCAAATGTCTTCCAATGCCCACTCAAGCAAAGATAATTATAATTCCATGGCCAGCAACATAAATCTTACAAGCAAACATCATAAAATCAAACAGCAAATGACATGTTAAAGCGACATCCACTCTCAATGTTACAGCTTGTGCCTAACCTACCACTAAAACAACCTAACTACAGGATAAAGCAGTGCCTGAATTAATTTCCGACTATAGGAAACGTCATTGCAACGAACTGATTACAATGTGCTGGCGGATCATGAATCGCTTGGCTGCTGTTCCGATTGTTGCTGCTGTGGCTGACCCTGAGGCCATGGCATGAAAGCCATGGTCGGTCGAGGCTGCTGGCCTGGATACAATGCAGCGGCTTGGTCGATTGGTTTTCCCATTATCATCCCCGGTGATCCCACAGGATGCTGTGGGACATAGTAATATGGAATATCTGCAGGTGAGCCAACTAAAGGAATAGTGGCCTTGGTGATCCCAAGTCCCTCCTCTTTCAACTCGTCTCTCGGAATAATATCGACTAAGAAATCAAAGACATCGGTCCTCGAAATTGCAGCTGCTATATCATTCTTTTGTAGTGTCCTCCTTTTGTTCTCTTCTGTATGGATCCAAGAGCGTAAAGTCAGTTCCAAGATGAACATTTCACACGCTTTTGCAAAAATTACAGGAGCCTCTGCTGATATCATCCGAACGTCTTCATCAGCTTTCATTATCTTTTTTATCCGAGCGAGCGGGAGATTGTGATTCTTGAAGTCTACTGTTTGCTCGATTTCTTGCATCTGGTTAGCCCAGAACACTTGAAGCTGCTGCTGTTGTTGCTGCTGCTGTTGGTGGTGAAAGTGCTGAGCTTGTTGGTAGGCAAGTTGATGTGGAGAACTAGAGAAAGTAGCCTGAGGCTGAGTTTGTGAAGGGACGGCTACTGCCACAGCGCCAGACGTGACCATTGGAGCAGTTTGGTAAGGAGCATTAGAATAGCCCATCTGCCCGGCACCAGGTACAACTCCCATCGTGGGCTGTTGCTGCTGCTGTTGTGTTTTCCCCGATTGATCCATGGTGATTTTACAGAATATCTCTTTGATCTTGTTCTATCTTCTCATTACCCCACGCTGTTACAAATATAGACAGAAAAGTATATACTAAGAAGATAAAAGGGTAACCTTGCTAACATAAATTCTTCAAGCCATCACTTTCAAGATCATATAGAAATAATACACAAATAGAGAAAAATAGCACATATTGTAACTCTTCAATAAATTTTGCAGGGCATCAAGATCAAATGCTGAAGGCTGAATCAACACTAGATTTCCAAGGTGCAGCATCATACAAAGATGAAACAGTCTATAAAAACAACTAAAATTTTGGCAATCACTACATGTGGATGGACATCCATCATAAAAAAGACATACATACACACCGCTCTTCCAATCATTCAAGCCGCAGTCCTATTAAAAACTTGCGAGTGCTAGTCAACAAGAATTAAAACATGTTTGATCAAGTTGAATTTCAACAGTTGCCTATATTTAACCAAGGCACTCCTCACTCTCCTCCACTTCCTCCTCCCTCTAAACCAAATGTTTAAAGACTGATCGTGTTACTTTTTCCGCTAGTGACTATTACATCCAACCAAATGGCATAAGCTCTAACACAATACAGGCAAAACAGATATTATAAAAGCTTTATGATAATAAGCCCTCTCTTACCATCCCATAACACGAGCATCTCTAAACCGTTGAAACAGGTATTTCTTTAACATAAGTCGGTAGCTCGACCTGACACTTCCTCTATTACTGAAAATTATTTAACCAACTTATTCACAGGCATAGACCTACTCACTCAATTTCATGCGAGAAGAAGAAATAGAACACATTTTACAATGCCTATAATTTGATTCCACTATTAGTTGACAGTTACACTCGATGTCCAAATGTTGGATCTAGCATGCCAAGTACAAGAAACTAGTCAGAAGTTTATGATAAATGAAGCGTTCCCTCACGAATTAGTAATAGCAACAAAATACTGTTGTATTGCTAGTTCTTTTAATGACACGTTGACTGATTTAAATAGCAGCGATGAAATACCATCTTACAACTAATCCATTTCTCGAGAAGTTGAATGAATTTATAACAGCAACAAAATACCAACTCATAGGCTCATAGCTAATCTGTTCTTTGACAAGTAAGCTCAATATTTTTCACATATGAACAATATGAAAGAAACAAGATGCAACAAATTCTATTTTATCATATTTCCTCTGCTTGGATTCACGCTGCTTGATATGTTTCCTACAATAAAATGTGAGCATACCCAAATATGCAAATCGAACATTAGTTTCAATTTTTTTTAACCAAACCGAACTTCTGAAGAACAGATCACACTCATATCGGACACCGGTAACTCAGACAGACAATTTTCATTACAGTGCTGATTAAAAATTGAAAAGAAACTAAAGTAGACGAGCAACCAATTGAATTTCACTAGTTTTATTCCAACCTGCATATATATAATTGATATTTAAAATAGTTTAATAAAACTCAGAAATAAAAGTCCATCTAATCTTAAAGCTGAGTACTTTCAAATTCCAAATCCAAAACTTGAAAAACTACCACATGCAATTGCCATGCATGAGTATTGAGTAGCCTAATTACAATCGAGCAATTGAATTTTTAATTCATAGCAGGAAAAAAATACAAACAAATAAAACCCCAAAAATTTATTTCCTTTTTCTAGAAAGAAGACCATACATGCAGCGGGAAGGAAATAAACTTGTGGGCAGTTACACCCTACTAATAACACTAACAGCTCTGCTTGCTTCCTAAGGTTCACTAAGAACTGATAAGAATCTTCTTTTCCAAGAGAATAAAAACCCAAAATAGAAATTTTCTTTATGGTCCTTTCCCACCGACCAAACAAGAAAAGGAGAAACCCAAAAATAAAAAATTTACCCGTGATATATCTTCCTTTCTGCAGTTGAATATTCTCAGGAAACCAACAAGAAGAAAGAGACAATGGGAGACCGGAAACGGAGGGTTGATGGAGCTTTCAATTTGAATGAATGCTCAATAAAAATAAAGAACTTTAATTTGGAAGAGGAAGAGCTTTCTGGAGGTATCTAAAAAAGGGACACGTGTCGATGAGCTTTAATACCTGACCCAGACACAGTTTTAGTTCATTCCACGTGTCTAACACCAAGTGGTCAAAAGGGTCAGAGGAGGAGGCTCACAACCTCACGTATTCCACCGCGACGGCAATGGCTACGAATGTAAGCGGGAGGGGTAGTTTAGAAATTAGCTTATAGGAAGCACGTGAAAAGCGCGTGGTCCTGTCGGATAAATATAATGTTAGGGTTTAGGACACGCGAGGAACGAAATAATGTGTTTGATTATGAAATTTAATATTGTTTTTAGCCTTCTCGGTTCTAGAGTTTCATCCTTATCAATCTGAATCAATATGTATTGTACATTTGATTTTGAAGGAAAATTCTCTCAATAGAGATTTTCTATATACACAAAAACTCAAACTCGATACAGAGAAATCAAATACCAAGTGGTGGTATAATACACAACATTGATCGAAGAAGAGCTCCAAGATGAACACAGTTAACGAACAAGAAGATCAGAGAGCTACAAAGAAAGTAAAGAATAGAGAAAGAAGAACGATAGACAATGAAGATTCTCAGCAAACAGATGACATGCAAACAGAAAATGAGCCCCAAGATGATAAAGATGCGGATATTGAACGTCCCAAGAGTCCTGGGAAGATATCATATGCTGCCATGGCTGCTAGTGGAACGCTCATGAACAAGAATCCGCCTGTAAACATGACTGAAGAAGAGATAATTTTTCAAGAAGGAGATGTTACCATGGATATTTCGGGGGTTTATCCTAAAATAAGTTTCTCTAACCGCATCCATAATTTGATTGATAGAAACATGAAACAAGTTATTATCACAAGACTGTTGGGGAAGAAGATAGGCTACAAAGCTCTGATTAACAGGATTCATGCTTTATGGAAACCGATTGGAAATTTCAACTTGATCGATTTAGATAATGACTATTTTTTAGTGAAATTTGAAAATCTTGAAGATTACACAAGAGTGCTTACAGATGGTCCTTGGATGATTTACGGAAGTTACCTGACAGTTCAGCCATGGTCAAGAAACTTCACCACCGCTGAAAAGCATCCATCTCATGTAATTGCTTGGTTGAGACTTCCCGGTTTACCCTACAGGTATTACAATATTGTTCTAATTAGGACATTTGCGAATACGATAGGAAGGGTTATCAAAATTGACTACAATACAAAAGCTGGAGAGAGATAGGCAAGTTTGCTAGAATTGCAGCTGTGATCGATTTGAATAAGCCACTTATTCCATGCGTGGGAATAGATGATTTTATCCAAAAAAATCGAATATGAAGGTCTGCAACAAATCTGTTTCAAATGTGGTACATATGGGCATGTGAAAGAAACCTGCCAAACCTTCCAAGAAGATAAACAGATGGAAAGAATCAATTCTGAAAATGGCATCAAAGATCAGTCAAATACGGATAATAGCAAAGACAACTCATTTGGCCCTTGGATGGTTGTTCAACCAAGAGGAAGAAACAATAGAATTCAAAAACCTCAAAATAAAAACAAAGAAGCAGAAGGAATGACAAACCAAGGCTCAAGATTTGCCCATCTCAGTGAAGATCCTTTGGAAGAAGGCCCCAGTGACAAAAATAAAGAAAAACAAAATATCTCTAAAGAAGCTGATACACAAAAACATGCTGTTAAAATGACTGTACCAGTGAACTAGACGTATACCAGAATGAGGAATAAAGGAATTTTGAAAAACAAAGACATGATTACCCAGGCAGAAGAAGCTACTGACCAACCTCAGAAGAGTGATGCTACCAATAATCCTGAAATTGACAATAACAGATTAATTGATGTTCCAATTTCAGATGAAGGAATGTCAACTGATAATGATTATATTGAGGAACGGACTATAGCAGGAATTCAAGTCAAGGCAAAAGAAGATGCTCAAATCAGAGAACATTCTATAACTATGGGAAACAATTCACATACAGCTATAATCATTCAAGAGGACAACAATAACCGAAACCCCACGTCTAGATGGAATTTCAACAGGAAGCCTAATCCGATCGCTCGTATTACTAACAAAGGCCTTAAAGTCAAAAAATCAAAAACTTCTATCAATCTCAACGTTACGTTACTTTCAGAATGGATCCAAGAAAACACCATGAATTCTGAAAATTTGGCTCCGCCTGGCAACACTACTACTACTAGTCAAGGCCAAATGACGGATCAGGTTGATCAGAATCAGATGCAAGAAATTGAACAAAAGAGTAAGGAGCTTCCACAAAGCAACTGCCCCTAACTTAGCTCTTATGAATTTTCTATTTTGGAACACACAAGGGGTTGTTAAACCCACCTTTAGAAGACATTTGAAAGATTGTGTGACCAAACATAAGCCTAAGATCATGGCTCTAATGGAAACTCACACAAGTGGCAAAAGAGTAGATAGAATTATAAATAACTTGGGTTTTAACAACACTTTCAGAATTGAAGCGCAGGGGCACAGCGGAGGCATTTGGGTTCTTTGGGATAACTCGGTTGAGGTAAAGGTTTTAAGCATCTCCAACCAATATATTCATGCGCGTTTCAAATGCTTGAACAAAAATAGCTGGAACTACTTTACAGCGGTATATGCTAGTCCCAACCCTATCATTCGGGGTAAATTATGGGAGATGCTTGATGATCTTAAACCTAGTAATTATGAGCCCTGGATCCTAGGAGGAGATTTCAATTGCATCCTGAGGACTGTAGAGAGAATGGGTGGTAGCAGTCATTTCAGAGGAGGGAGTAAACATTTTCAGGAATTCATATTCAATAATGAATTACTGGATGTTGATTACCAAGGGGATGATTTACTTGGAGGCGGGGGAACCTATGGCAACATCTTGATAGGTGCATTATGAATATGAAGTGGCTAGAGCTTTATCCGGACACCAGAGTCCACCACCTTGACAGAATTGGTTCGGACCACTGTCCTATTCTGCTACATACTTCGAACAACCTTAATGGTAATATAAATAAACCGTTTAGATTTGTGGCAACTTGGTTGGATCATCCTGGTTTTGGGCAGTTCCTTAGAGATGAATGGGCAAAAAAGGACAACCTCAACCATTTCAAGCTTAGCATTAAAACTTGGAACAAGGAAATTTTTGGAAGTATTAATCAGAAGAAGAAAAGAATTCTGGCTAGATTAAGAGGTATTGATAAATGTCTACGAAGATAAAACTCCAATTATTTGGCTGCCCTCTAGATTGAGCTAAAAACCGAGCTTGACATCATTTTAAGACAAGAATAACTTCTTTGGGCCCAAAGGGCAAAGTGCAAGTAGATTAACTACGGTGACAAAAATACCAAATATTTTCATTCCTATGCGATCACTAAAGGTAGAAGAAAACTTATAACAGCCCTAAAAACAAATTCTGATATATGGTGTGAGGACCAAGAGATGCTCAAAGTTCATGCTAAGGATTTCTATGATAAGCTATACACAAGTGACCCACAGATCAGACTTTCTCTTGAAAACAGTAGACCTTTTCCTGTTTTGAACCAGGATCAATGGAACTGGCTGGACAGACCTTTCGAGAATAAAGAAATAAAAGAAGCCTTATTCAGTATGGGTCCTCTTAAAGCACCTGGGGTTGATGGTTTTCATGCTATTTTCTTTCAGAAAAATTGGGACATAATGGGAAAGAAAGTTTGCTCACTTGTTAATCATTGTCTCAATGGTGGACAGATTGTTGAAGATCTCAATAGAACAAGCTTAGTACTTCTCCCTAAGGTGGATAAACCAGAGAGTATTAACCAATTCAGACCTATAAGCCTCTGCCAGGTGACTTACAAGATCATTACTAAAGTTATTGTAAATCGTCTCAAACCTATTCTCCCTTCTATGATTTCTAATAGTCAAACGAGCTTCGTTCCGGGCAGAGTTATCACTGACAACATTATTCTAGTACAAGAAATAATACATTCGATGAAAAAGAAGACAGGAAAAACAGGGTGGTTAGCCATAAAATTTGACCTTGAGAAAGCCTACGAAATATTAGAATGGTCTTTTGTTAGAGATAGCATTGAGAAGATGGGGCTGCCTAATAAAATCATTTTGGCTATTATGAACTATATAACCTCCATGACTATGCAAATTAATTGGAATGGAGAGCTTACTGAACCTTTTCAACCTTCTCAGGGCATTAGACAGAGAGATCCTCTTTCGCCTTATTTGTTTGTGATCTGCATGGAAAGATTGGCACATGAAATTACTTTATCAGTCAATCAAGGAAAATGGAAACCTATTAATCTTTCTAGAAATGGTCCTGACATCTCTCACCTCTTTTTTACAGACGATCTCATCATTTTTGCGGAAGCTAACATCAATCAGATTGGAGTGATTCAGAACACTCTCAACAAATTCTGAAAGAGTTCGGGACAGAAAGTTAGCCTCCAAAAGTCCAATATCTATTATTCGAACAATGTCGATGTTCAGACAAGAAACAATATAACAAACTTAATTGGTATCAAAAAGGTTGAAAACCTTGGAAAGTACCTGGGAGTTCCTCTGCTGCACAACAGGATCAATAAACATACTTACAGCAGCATCACTCAAAGAGTAAAGGACAGACTCACTGGATGGAAAGCTAAGTCATTATCGTTAGCTGGAAGAATTATCTTGGCCAAATCTGTGCTTAATTCGATTCCTGCATACACAATGCAATCGATATTAATTCCTAAAGGAACATGCAATGAGCTTGAAAAACATACAAGAAACTTTATTTGGGGAACACAAATGATCAGAAGGGGATACACCTTGTAAATTGGGAAAATCTTTGTAAGCCTATCAAAGGAGGGGGTCAAGGTCTAAAAAACCTTAGATTCTAAAATGAGGCTTTCATTTTTAAATTAGCCTATAAAATTACTAATCGAACTTATCTCTTATGGGTGCAGGTGATGAGAAGCAAATACAAAATGAAAGAAACTCTACCTGAAGTTCTTGAGAAAAGGGGAGGATCTCCTTTATGGAAACAAATATGCTCCCTATGGACTAAATTCAAGCAGAATATATGATGGAATGTTGGTAATGGCAACAGTGTTGAATTCTGGCATGATATATGGGTTGATAATAAAGGCCCTCTAGTTAGGCTCTGCAATCAACCTTTGGATGTAGTTAATGACAAGACTAAAGTCAAGGGAATGATCAACCAAAATGGCAACTGGGATTGGAATAAACTTACAACACTTCTGCCAGCTCAAGCCATTAATATGTTGAGAGCAACACCTCCTCCAATAGAAGAAGACATTGAAGATTCGCCGGGCTGGATACCATCAGAAAAAAGAATTTTCACTGTTAGATCTGCATACAAGTGGTTAACCAACATAAATAACAATATTGAAGAGAAGATTTGGGGAATTATTGCAAAACACAATAATATTCTCAGAATCAAGACTTTCCTATGGCTAATCGGAAAAAATAGACTGCTGACCAACTCAGAAAGGGCGAGAAGACATATGTCTTTGGAGGCAAGTTGTCCTATGTGTAATTATGAATCATTGGATATCAATCACATTCTGAGATACTGACCTAAGACTCTATTAATATGGACATACTTGATTATTCCTCAGAAGATGGATAGGTTCCTAAGCTGTGATCTAAATACTTGGATTATTGAGAACCTTAATGCAACGCAGTCCCCTTCGACGAGTGTTGAGAACTGGCCAATTTTCTTCAGCTCAGTAATCTGGTATATATGAAAGAGAATGAACCAAACAATTTTCGACCCAGAGATGATTGAAAAGGAATCGGTTATCCAACAAGCAAAAAAACTTACCCAAGAAATACAGAGTTCGGGTTCTACTAATCCTATCAGCAAGAATTTCAAAGTTAATTCCCGATTCAAATGGAAAAAACCAGCAAGCAATTTCTGAAAAATAAACACTGATGGAACCAAAAGACAAAGCACTGGGGAAGCTACGTGTGGCGTTGTTGCAAAAGATTGTAATGGTGAATGGCGCTGGGACTTCAGGAAAAAAATAGGAATCTGTTCTATTTTGGAAGCAGAACTATGGGGTATCCATGAAGGTTTAAGAATCGCTTGGTTAAGGGGAGAAAGAAACGTGATTCTAGAGTCGGATAATAGAGAAGCTATCAACCTAATTAAGAACAACTCGATCGAGCACAGGAAACTTACGATTCTGCAACATATCGAAAAATTATTGAGGAGAAATTGGGTAGTTGATCTGGATTAC